AGGAGTCGAAGTTAACCGAGGGTGAACCGCTGAATACAACGTTGGAAAAGCAGGCCTTTATGTATGTCACCAGGCTACAGCTACTAAGTCATGAGCTGAACAAACGACTCGAGACAACGTGCGAGAGTGTCACCAAGAATTTGCCCCGAATAATATATGACCTGGAAATCATCAAGCAAGAGGCGGTGTCGGCGAAAGGGAAAATCGCCAATATCAATCAAGAGCTGGCGAACGTGGTTCAGAAAGAGGATAATACGCTGTATGATCTGGTAAAGCTGGAGCTGATCAAATCTCGAATGGAGGCATCCAAGAACGTCTTGCGCGAAGCAGAAACCTGGAATAATCTTGGTGCTGAAGTTAGCTCCTTGATGGCCAAAAAAGCGTACCTTGACGTCACCAGTCGATTGGAAGAAGCACAGAATAGTCTAGCAATGTTCCAAGATTCCCATGAATACGAGGAAAGACTGAAGTTATTGGAAAACCTGAAGACTCAGCTGGAGCATGCATTGCAACCCTTACTCAGCACGGCAATTGATGGTAGAGAAACTAAGGATTGCAAGGATCTATACGGCATTTTCAGCCGAATCAACAAAGAAGAGGTTTTCCTGGAGACCTACTTTCATCACCGTACAGCCTCTTTGTCGAAACAGTGGGAAGACTCATTCGCAGAAAGGCCGGATGGCAGCAACCTTTCAGCTGCAAAGATCTCCTCCGCCAACTTGGGAGACTTTTTACCCAAGTTTTTCGAAGAAGTCTTTATCGTGTTGAACCAAGAAAAAGGCTGGTGTACAGAGATCTTCCCCAAGCCTGGCTCAGTCATTTATGCCCTTATCTGCAGTCTTTTCCGTTCGTTGAGGCCTTCGTTCCCCTCGCAAGTCGATTTACTGGTCGGTCAGCGCCCTATGACTGACTCTTTACCCGAGCTCATCAGGGCCTTTAAGGCGTCTGAGAAGTTTGGCAGCAATGTTGAACGTCTGCTAAACCAGCTATACGAACAGAATCAAGGCAACTTGACCACTGACCTAAGTCATTGGGGCGATTCTATCTTTGAAGGATTTCTGGCACATCAGTGCAAGTACCCGGAGTACGAAAGCTCCTATCTTGAAATCACACTTGACAAGCTCCTTAAGTTTGACTCGGTGAAAGAAACAGGCGATTCTCTCATACGTAGCATGCTCGATGTTGTTGCCAAAGCATTCAACGTCTTTAATGCATCGCTATCGAGGTGCCTTTATTTGACTCATGGGTTTGCTAGTGTTGGGATGACCAAGGCAGTATCTGAGCATATCTGCAAATTAATAACTAGGTTAAGCAACTATTGTGCCCAGCTATCGTCCCTGTTCAACGATGAGAACTCTGTCACACTGCCACAGATAACCGAAGACGAGGAAGCAGATGGAGACGAATATCGGGAGGTGAATTGGCAGCTATTCCAACTTGGCTTGGAGTTGATTGGCGTTTGCCAGAGATTAGCAGCTCAAATTACCGAGTTAGAGAACAACGCCAGAAAAGCCGTTCTTTTCACCGAGAATCTCACCAGGGAAGAGCTGGCGTTTGGCAAAGGGGCCGACCATCTCATAGTTGTGAATGAAACGAACCCTACCGACTTCACAATTCCTACACAGGACATTACCGTTACCTCCTTGATGCTGCTCAAAGAGTCGACTCTGAATAGCCTGGAATTGCGTAGCCTACTGGAAACGGTCAAAAGCAAACCATTCTGCTTGTTTGAGAAGCCTAATGCTGCATCGAAGAAACTCACTGAACAATGTCAGAGATACTTGTTTAATATTCTTTACGTCATGATCAAAAGGCAGTTTGTTGATTTCCAGAAGAACCCCTCTTGGACCTCTAATGAAAGCGGGACCACTTCGCCGCTGCGTCTTCAAATCCCCAAGTTCAGTCTTTCACCATCCATATACATCACTCGCATCGGTGAGTACCTGTTGACGTTACCACAGCAGCTGGAAACATACTCTGGACATGATTCGTTTGGCTTCTCGCTGGATACTCTACCGTTCAGTCAATCCATCACTCCGGAAACCACACCTCCTGCATCAACCAACACATCATCACCGAAGCTTTCGCCTGATAAACCCAGCCCTCGTAGTCGCACGGCTGGTGAACGATCAAGCCCCCCAGGGTTGAACCGTGCCCGATCATACTCCACAGTCTCTTCCGATCATTCAAGTAACGCGCATACCCCCCGACTACGCCGCAGCTCATCCGTATCTGGATCACGACCACGACTTTTGTCTTTGAACTCGTCCGACCAAATCCACGAGACCAACCGACGCATCGAGATCACCCATCGATGGATCAATTCAGTGGCACAAGTCACCCAGAGCAAACTGTGCGAGATGATCCTTGGCCTAGAAAGAATCTCCCCGTTCGGCGCTAAACAGCTGGCCACTGACATCGAGTACTTCACCAACATATTGCTAGCCATCGACATCACACCAGGCCACAGGCTCTTGGGGATTTTCAAGGGGCTCGAGTGGTCACCAGAGACGCTCGGTCAACTCACCCAATCCGCGCAACCGCAAGCCGAGATGTCGGACGAAGATAGAAAGCTGTTGGCGCAAGAGGGGACCATGGAGGTTCTCCAGAAGGTCCGCAGGATCCGGGAATGATAGATAGTCAAAGGAGATTTATTGTTTCTCTATGTTAATTTAAAAAAAGATAATGAACCCCATTTAAATAATACAACATGGCCGACAATCACTTTTCACAACTCGCCTCAGCTCCTCTCTTTTTTCAGGAGGGTGCTTAGAAGGCTGGACAGTGGCTGTGGGTTGGTGGGGTTGCTGGACTTCTGGTTTTGGGAGGCGATCCATTTTTGCGCGATCTCCTTGACCTGCTGCAGCTTGGCCGGGTCGTTCAGGATATTGCTGATCCCCATGGAATCCAGGCCACCGGTCCCCTTGATCCCCAGCAGGTCAAGTAGTCCGTCCACCGAAGTCCTAGTCACGCCTACCACTCTTCCGATTAATGAGTTGGAGTAATTGATTTCACTAATTGTATCAAGCTCTTCCGATTCACTCAACTTTCCCCTCTTCATCAGCCCGACTCCCGCCATGTCCCCCGAGTCGTCGACCAGCACAGGCGCAGAGTGGCTAACACCCAGGATGGCGCACACAAGAAGAAGAGCAATGGACTTGTGCATCATGTTTAGAAGGATGGCAAAGAGGGTGCCGGGGTCAAGGAGCCGCCCCCGCCTTAAATAACCACTCTGGATGCAATCACCGCATACACACACACACACATACACATACCAAACACCGCATCGTTTCAAACAACCGACATGACGGGATGGGACCAAGGAAATCAGGAAAAAAATCTTCCGAAAAAATTTATTTGTTATTCGTCCGAGTAAAGACGAGACAATTAAGCGTCAGCGATGGTGACCTCGACCTCGACTCCGGGCTCGATGGAGATGGAGGTGATCTGCTTGACGATCTCGGAGGGGGAGTGGAGATCGATGAGACGCTTGTGGATTCTCATCTCGAAACGATCCCAGGTCTTGGAACCCTCACCGTTGGGGGTCTTACGGGTGGTGATGCGAAGGACCTTGGTGGGGAGACGGACGGGACCCTTGACGCGGAGTTGCTTGTCCTTGGCACGGGAGACAAGGTCGGCGCAGACCTTCTCAAGATTCTTGACGTTACGGGAAGTCAAAGTGATACGAATCTTGTGGATCTTGGCCTCGACTTGCTCTTCGAAACCGGGTTTTCCTTTAGCGACGTAAGCCATGGTGGTGAATATACAGCAAAGTTAACAAATTAACGGAGTCCACGGCGCAGCGGTGACTATTGGATTTGTTGTGGGTAGAAGGAGGCCGATGGGGGGATTCGTGGCTTATATCCGAGGGGGGCGATTTTTTTTCTTACCCCCCCCGTCGGGCCAATCATGCGTGGACATGTTGAGGGGAGGGGTGGTGGATCGACTGAGATCCACAAGGAAGCACTCGTTGGAGATCGCTCGCGAAGTTGGCCACCTTTCCTTGGATGGTCCCGGGTTCGAAAAATCCAGCCGAAAAAAAAATTCACCCAAAATTCTCGGGAGTCCTATTCGACAAGGGGAAGGGAATCCGAATGGATTAAAATCTACCGGAATCCTTGGAGTTCCGTCCTTTCCGCTCTTCTTTACGGTTTTCTCCCCCAGTCGAGCTTTATATCAAGATGGGTCGCATGCACACTCCTGGGTCAGTATTCCCATCCATTTGTAACCACTCCCATCCATCCAACAACCATATACTAACCGGATTCACAGTAAGGGTATTGCCTCTTCTGCCCTCCCCTATCGTCGTACTCCCGCTTCCTGGGTTAAGGCCACCCCTGAGGAAGTTTGCGAACACATTTGCAAGCTCGCCAAGAAGGGTATGACCCCCTCCCAAATCGGTGTCCTCCTCAGAGACTCCCACGGTGTCCCTCAAGTCAAGAGCGTTACCGGTAACAAGGTTCTTCGTATCTTGAAGAGCAACGGTTTGGCCCCCGAGATCCCCGAGGACCTCTACCACCTCATCAAGAAGGCCGTCGCCGTTCGCAAGCATTTGGAGCGCAACAGAAAGGACGCCGACTCCAAGTACCGCTTGATTCTCATCGAATCCAGAATCCACAGATTGGCCCGTTACTACAAGACCGCCGGTCAATTGGCCCCCAACTGGAAGTACGAATCCTCCACCGCCTCCGCTTTGGTCGCCTAAGTGGTCGTTTTCCCTGAATCCTCAGTGTTTGAAGAGAAATAAATTCCGAAGGTACTCGTTTCTCTCCCTCGCCCCCGTCCCCGTGTTCTTTTTCTTGTCTAGGTTCAGGTTTCTTTTGGTAGGACGGTGGCCTCTCTGTGGGGTCACGGTCCTGGGGGAATGGTCGTTGGACTTGAGCCGGTTTCGCTGCGGATGTGATGACCCATATATTCTTCGAGATGAAATGCCACTTCGGTGGATTTATGCTCCAGTTGTATTCACACTGTCTGATCCCCAGAAACAACCGTAACTCAACGTCTAATTAGCTTAATAGGTAGAGCGTAAGAGATTCTCTTGAAGGTGTGGGTTCGAATCCCATGTTAGTCTAGGGGAAGTATGGCTGCGCGGATGTGATGACTTTATTTTCTTCGAGATTAAAGGCCACTTAGTGGATTTATGTTCTTGTTGTATTCACACTGTCTGATCCCTCCATACTTGAAGTAACCCGACTTTCACTACGAGATCTTGAGGTGTGGGTTCGAGTCCCATGTTAGACCATGGCTTTGTTTATATGAAATAAATCCCCTTGAACTCTTGAACTTTGCTTTCGTTCTGCGCTTTGCCCTAAGTGTTGTGGCGATTTTGGAGCCTCTCTTCATCGTATCTATACCATCTGCCGAGATGATCAGGGAAGATCGGTTATTGAGTGGCGTTTATTGAGAGAAGGTGTGAATGGATTAAGGTGCGGAGATGTTCAGTGATGATGTTCTGGGAAACATGTGTTTGGGTGGGTGAAGTGGGAGGAGTGTAGCGCTGTTGGATTCGCAAATTATCGTAAATTTTTAATCTAAACTCGATTTCACAACGACCTGCCTACTTCAAGTCCACTATGAACTCCCATCTGCCCTCTGCCAACCCCTTGGCAGTATCTTCTAATACGACCTCTCGGCGACTAGCAACATATACGCTTTTGTCAAGGACGCTCTGCTTCAGCTCGGTAATCTTGTTCGGCGCGATTGGCGTCTCAAGGAGTTCACTTAGCTGTTCAACGGCCATCTCTAGATCTCTCTGATTATCCTCAAACAGGGCAGTCATGTTGTTCCTCACAAGATAGAATGCAAATGCGTACGTCCACTTGAGGGTCATGCGGCATTCCACCACTGTGTCCAGGGCTTTCTTGAGGAACTGTACCTCGATCCAGGATAGATCCGACGTTTGTTGCATCTCCTCCATCTTTTTCTCGGTCTTGAAATACATTTCTCTGTCCAGTTTGGCACTCTGCTCGTGGTTGGCATATCGATTGTAGTACTAGGACAATTGTGGATTAAAGCTCGGTTGCATGAGTATTGCTACAAAGAAATGCTTACATGGAGGTACCGTTCCAGAGTTGCTCTAGAATCGGCTTGCTTGTCTCTAGCCTCTGTACTGCTCTTCTCGTCGTAACGATTACAATTGTACCAGTTTGTTCCATGTTCAGACCAAGGTCCCATGCACACCCAGCAGAACTCGTGTCGACATTTTCTACAAGTCATATGGTTACAACCACCATTCTTCTCAATGGTGGAATGGCAAGCCGGGCATTCTTTGGTGTTGGCGGAGATCCAGTTGGCAGTCTCCGAATCGTCCTCACATTTCTTTATCCACTGCTTGACCAACGCGCAGATGCATGGTTGATGATCAGCCACACCACAGCCGAAGCAGAACTTGTGACCGCATTTACAAACTACAGTTGGAACCACTGAAGTCAAAGACGTGTGTGGAACATAACAGGAGACAGCATATTCACAGTTGGGCGCAGGGCACCATCTTAGGTGATCATTGTCATCAACATAGGTGCGGTTGAGCAGCATCCGGTAACTGAATACAAAATATAAGCTGCCACGTTCTCATCAATTGAACAGTCTAGAATAGAGAGCCGAAACCTACCGCTCATAGACAGCCGGACTGACAAGCAATTCCACGGTGTATTCATCTATCACTAGATTGCAACCTTCGCCTGGGCATTGGATTTTCCGGCTTTCACCCTCTTCCTTGATCTTCTGGACCAGGTAGTGCTGGTAGCAGTTGATGCAATACCTATGATTGCATACTAAAGAAACTGTGTCTAGGTCTGGATCATCGTCACAGCAGATGTCACACACGAAACCAGCCACCTTGGAGATGTCGACTGATCGCGCATCGTTCGTGATGACCCCGGCTTTACTCAACACCTTCTCCGGTGTATCCATGTATCTTTCTATCAATGTCTCTTTGTTCCAACGAAAATATCTGAGCAAGGTGGCTGCCTGCTGATCCGGTAGGCCTAGAATATTCGAGACGTGGTTGATCTCTTTGTTTTGGCTCTCGACAATATCTTCGATGGAAAGAACAGTGAAGTCCACCTCGTAGATCTTCTTTTTGTTCTTCTCCAGCATCACCGTGCTGAAGCCCATGTCGTCTCCGTCCAGCTCGTAATCCTCGTCTAACAGATCGTCGTCGTCGTCTTCGTCCTCCTCCATCTCGAACTCACTTTCCTCCTCGTCTACCAGGTCAGCGTCCTCGTCGAAGCTGGCCTCCTCCTGGTATTCTTCGTCGAAATCCATGTCTGACATGATAGTAAAATCTACTTGTGCGGTGGTAGAGAAGATGAATAGAGTGGGTGGTTCCAATAAAGTGAGATTCTGTAGTATTCAAAAGTGCTTTGGGACACTTGGATCTAAGGGGAGATTAACTGAAAAAAGTGTACGTAAAGACTAGTCAAGTATTCTTCAGCTGTTGCCGTAGTTTCCTAATTTTATGTTGACGCACACATGAACGTTATGGATTCTATGACCAATGGGTCACGTGCCTGCTGTCGACCATCCCTGATTTTGTGCCTCATCGGGATCCACGTGATGGCATCAGAATTGATATGAATTTTAAATGATTTCCTATGGAGCAATTGAGAACGACAAGGGTTATGCTATAGTAGATGATTCATATGGCTTAATGCTTATATATATATATACAAGCATATTTATTAGAGTCGGAGAGATTCAGATTGAAGTTTATAATAAGCGCGCTTAGCCTAGGATTTAAGAGCATTCTTCCATTTCAACAGTGCAGCAATTATAGTTGATTGAATTGACCCCGCAAATGATGAATTCACTTAGCATAATAGCATACACCTAATCCTCCTCTACTAGACCAAGAATCATTCTAGTAACAAAAAATCGAGGTTAGGGGCATTGGTAATAGCATTGGTAATAGCATTGGTAATAGAATACGGCTCTTCCAACGGCTTACCTATACAGATAATAAAAAAAGCATAACAGGTAAAATCCCATCTTCAAAAAAGTCTCCTTCTTGTGCGCGGGAAGAGTGCGAAATATCTCTGTTGCGTCATACATATGTCGACTGTTCGTTAGCCTAGTAGAAAGGTCAAACTCGGTGCAATCATAGGGTATCTTGAAGTACATACTGCATAGTATTAAACGCCACTACCGGAAGATTGATGATGAGGGCCGTCCAGTTTCCACTGAACAGAAATACAATAGCCATCACGTATTGACCAATATACTCTGGAAGAATAAACTACGGTCGGGAAGAATGAATCACTTTATGCTCAATAGACAATGGTCATAGGATGTGTCTACCTGGTTTAGCCTATTGCATAGATCTATTGGGTTGATATAGTCACATTCCAAATCGCTCAGCATTATAGCCTAGCGAGGAAGGTTAGTTTGTACTCAAAGCATATACGGAAGGGTATACATACGTAGAACACCATAGCGAACAAAAACAGCGCCGAGAATATTACTGCCAGCAAAAAAATGATAACCTCACTCATTCTCTGTCAAGTATTGTTTGCAAGAAAAAGGATGGTCACAAATATTCCGGACAGTGTGGGCTGGTACTAAGGTGATGAAGACATCCCACTAAGCTTTTGACGTCACGTAAGGAAATTCGGATTGATTCAAATCCAGGATGCAGATTAGCCAAGTGACGATAATGCTATTAACGAACAATTGAAAGATGAATTTATTCCTATACAACAAAAAGTAACACTAACTTAATCACATTAATGGACTTCACAATGTAACGTACTCACAGTAGATCAATTAGCGTCTTGCGGCAAAAGACACTGAATTCCATGTACAGCTCCATAGCGTTACACAAGTACTCTGCAAATCATTTGACGAAAGTAATTGCAATCCTAATAAAAATTACGCTTTACGCTTTCGAGCAGGCCCAGGTTTCCGCTTCACTTTGGTTGGCTTCTCCGAAGTCCGGCGGGCTCGTTTTGAAGGTGTATGCGAGTGATCATTCTCTTCAACAATCCAATACTCCCTAGGCTTACGGACACTGCGACCAGAGCGGGTGAGTCCTGACTCACTAGGGGGTTCCTTTTCTTTGTCGCCTCTTTTCTCAGATGCAATTTCATTATGCTAAAGAAGTGTGAGGGCACCATATATATATATCAAATCAAGTGGTAGAAATGCCCTGTACCTTTTTATCTTCTGGGTGTGTCTCTTTCGTTACGCGTCTAGCTGGGGTCTTAGGGTGTGCTTCTATAGCATTGGTGATCGAGCCATTAGATGAGGTAGACTCTGAGTGGCTAGCAATGTGGACATCCCGCTCAGACAAATCGCTCGCTCTTTTCCCAGATGTGTGAGATTCTTGAACTGCTGTTTTGCTAAGTTTCATTTTCAGTTTTCGAAGCGAAGTCTTTGATACTGGCTTCTCCTCTTGTGGAACAACAATCTGTTTGTCTAGCAATGCATCAAAGCTTTGAATCTCCTCCGATTTTGGCGGGTCTTTCTTGGCGCTTTTACGCGTTCTTGATTTAGCAACGAGATTAATACGTGGCTTTGGCTTTCTACCGGATCGACGGGGTGCATTGTCTGGTGGTTTCTCCGTGGTCTCAGGATGGCCTTCTTCTGGCAAAACCTCATCAAGAGTGATCTTCAAATGATCATCATATGAAAACTCTATACTTTGATTATTGTACTCTGAGTGATCATTTTCTGGTTCGGTGGATATGTTTGCAATTTCGGAAAGAGTTGTTGTGCTATCAGCTAGAATAGCCAAGTAGCCTTGTGAGCATAAAAGACCATTCAGGGGTGGTGGATAAACGTCGGTACCTTTTTCGCTTTTCTTCCGTTCTTCCAGGTTGCGTTTTTGCATTTGAGCCTTATATTTCATTTCCGAAGAGAGTTCGCCATCAAACTCTACACAAATCCATGATTTCCATTCTTCTGGAAATCCTTCCCTGAACAGGTTGGCAAAGTCTTCGGAAAACCCTAGAAGGAGCTTGATTGTTAGGAACATCCAAGTCATTAACAGAATGCCTTTACCCACCGGCATCGGTCATCCCCTGTAACGATATAGGGCCGGAAAGCCGGTAAATAGAACCACTGAAAGTTTTC